TTCTAAATTAAAAAAAAAAAAATTTATACTATGTTATTCTAAGCATTTAAATTTGTACTATGTTATTCTAAGCATTTAAAGCATGAACACATTTATAGTCCATCCAGTTATTTTAGGACTTTTTTTTAATTTTCCTCAATCTATAAGCTAAAATTAGCAATCATGACCTACCTTTTTAGCACCATTTTAATATTATAGTACTACTAACGCAACATGACAAATTGGCTATAGCCATAGCTTAGTTGCGAAGAGTATACACATGGTCTAGTATTTCTGAATTAAAACATTATAAACTATGCATGTGATAGACATCAATGAATGTTGAAAGGTAACGCATATCATTAAACACAGTCCGAAATAAATAATGTAACTACTTAACAGCAGTTTAATCAACTCCTTATGCCCTACTGCAGAAAAAATCAAAATCTAGAATAACGTGGTCAAGAAGGGTTCACTAGCACTACACATGCCGATGCAACGTTAAAGTTTCACTATAGTGTTACCAGTATATTTCTAATATAATTACTGTACAAACATACCAATGAGTGAAGATAAAATTTTGAGTCGTAGATGGATACGACGTTGTTTCGTATTAAATCCACCATTTTAACTTCACTTTGAGTTCATACAGTAGTTAAACGGTTGCCAATTCCTTCCCATACTGTATATATATACAACCTAAATTATGTGCGTCATTAAAACCTCAAGATTCCTTATTTATGTAGGTTAATCTTAATAAGAATCAGTCATCTCTTAACCTGTCAAGATCATTAAAGAGGAGTATCTTTACAATGATGGATGATAGCTGCATCGATCTCCATTACTCGCTAACATTAGACGAATAAATCGAGGACGTGCCAACACTGATAGCATGTACGGCATGTCTATTTACTTCGAAACACACTGCGCTAATTACTTAGTAACCTAGCTGCATCTTAAGAATGCTATAAGCTCATGATACTTGTCTATTTCTCTGCATTTTGTAGCAAGTTATCGCTGGATTCAGTCAATCCATATAGTGTAGATCATACTATACACATCCCTGTAGGCATGACTTAACGTTGTTACCACTGGATTATTAATAACACGTTAAGAGTTACTTCGACATTGTAGCGATTACGCGCAGCAGTATGAAATATCTCATCAATCTAATAGATTATAGTGATCGCGGTCATAGTAATCAATTTCAAATCTTACGTGATAGGTATTTACAGTTTAAATTATGCCGTTCGGATTTTTTTCTTAATAAGACTTCTACAAGCCGATGACTATTGCATGGCGATACGGAAGGATTTGTCTCATCTACGTCTAAGTTTTAGTTTATTATTGCAAACGACAAGAATAGAACGAATCAGTTTTACAGCCTATTAGTATTACAGACTATAGAGAATTAGTTCCAATGTGTCTGTTAGCAAGACGATAATTAATTGATTATCGACTACGACACCCATCAATTCTGATCAGAAAAGATGCTCTTGAAGAAATCGATTCGTTTGCAAGGCCAAATGTGGCCAGCAGATTCGTCAACAAAGTTACCACAATTATAGCGGACGCACAATTCGATCGCAAATTTCTTTCATAACGCTTTTAATACTATGAATAGCGTTAGTATGGATATAGCTATAATCACCAAGTACGCCCATGTTTCAATGGGAGTATAGGCAATAAACTCATACAAATTGAGCATTTCTTGATTAAATCAGTTAGAATGATATTGTAATGAGTTAAAAATCGAAATAGACTAACGCAATAGGAAAAGTGAAATTACTTAGTAAGCTTTCAATGCTATACGAGAATAGCGCTATCATCAATAGCTCGAATAGCTTATTTGGTTATTAATATAAAGGATTGACAGATTACAAATTAATAAAGGAGATAATGGATTCGTTTTTTGATCGTGATTCGGGGCAGATTAAATATAGTTCAGCCTATTCTATCTCAGTATAAAATAAATTTCTCTTAAACAAGTTAAAATTGGTTTATCAACTAGAATATGGATAGATAGAAATATTGCAAGTCTATACATCAATAATCTTCTCTTGAAACAGAATCAGAAGGTAGTTACTTAGTACAGCGTACAAAATAAAAATTGATGGTGCATCAACATCATGACGGGCTCATCTAGCAATCCGAGGTCTGGATTTCACAGTAGAAGTAATTGCAGGCATTAAACTGTTTTCCAATTTGCAAGTCCGAGACTGTTCAGCATTTTCAGCTAGTGTCGTCGACTGAAACTTGCGTACTCACAGTTGATCTGCTCTCTGATGGTGCACTGTACCATCATGACAGACTCGTAGGTCTGGATTTCACAGTAGAAGTATTTGCAGGCATTAAACTGTTTTCCAATTTGCAAGTCCGAGACTGTTCAGCATTTTCATTTTCAGCTTGTGTCATCGACTGAAACTTGCGTACTCACAGCTGCTCTGCTCTCTAGTGCATCAAGTCGCGACGTCTCTTGAGCATCGAGGCGCGACGAAAATTCTTCTGCAACCGCCTTATCGCTAATGCTAACGCACCAGTAAGGCGTACTTTACAATTTTATTTATATTCCATTAGTATAATCTTTTCTTCTATTACAGGTAACTTCTTTGAATTATTTACCGTTATTCAAAGAACAATTTTATGAATATTAATTCACCAGGGAGGGCTACGACCATAATGGGCGGATGAACACAATTAAAGCCTCTACTTTATTTTCCATAGTCCAGACAGTCCAGACCAAAGTATAGAATAAAATTTGCTTTTTCAATACTAAGATAGCATAAAGTAAAAGCTACAACAGTGCTTTTGTCCCTACGGATGCTACTGGTATAGTAGCTGTTTTATACTCACTATGACATTTTAGAGGCAAGTAAATTGATACAATGATGGAAGGTTTGATGAGTTAGCGGTAGCGGACTTAGATCATTGCCACACACAGAAGCACACCCAATTGCACAAAGAGTTTAGTAGAAAATGGATACTTTATTGTCGACTAGAACTGCGTACAATATGATACTGCAGTTACCAGTGTACTGCCTTCAACAATTAATATTTGAAATACTAACTCTGCTATTAGTGAAACTAACAAAATCTAAGACAGAAATCGCTTATAGTTATAGTTGGAGGAGCTAGTACACACATAGAGAAGAAGATTATAGAATTAAATATACCATATACCACGATAGCTAATGCAATAGTAAATGATTGTAGAAAATAGCGAAGAATAGAAATGCTATAGATAACTCAATATAACAAGGCTATATTTAAATGTAGCGTAGTAAGACCGTAAAGGTATCTATATTTAAGAATCATTTAAAATGCCGATATTGAATGATACACTAGAGTTATAACACAATCTAAATACACTACACATCTCAATACAGAGTAGAAATTATTGGAATAAACAGACTTTATTATTCATAAATAGCTTCACTGCAACAGAGATTTTTTCTTTTCACCATATTCAGAACAGATCTATATCGATAATTCAATCTACGACAGCCTCACATTACTTATTTCAAATAGTAATTTTTAGAATATTTTGGCTTAGAATAGACTTTTCACAATCTACGACAGCGTCACATTATTTATTTTCAATAGCTATCTTTTACAATATTTTCACTTGGAATAAACTTTTCATCGTAATATCTAGAAGAATAGGAGAGCCTTGTTGAATCTTGCTTCTCGAGCATCTGTTGACATCGTCATATCTATAGAATGCTTTCCTTGAAATTAGTCACGCAATAAAGAACGCAATCCTTGTCTAGTATCGAACATAAAATAAGATCAGCTTCAGTAGATAAAGCCCTAATAAATAAAAGTCTAATTTAGGCGATGCTATCAGATTACCATCATTTGCTGACGTAAATACTAAACACATAATTTACAGCAAAATGCGTGATAAAAAAACAAGTATTATTTTCCACATTGTATAACAAAGAATTATTGTACCTGTATGCGGTAACCGTTAAAGATTTATTTATGTGATTGTTAATGATTAGATCGATATAAGCTAGTGCTTTCCTGAAAGTAGCTATCAGATACGATCTTTGCGATTAACATTAGGATCTGCCTTTACCATCTACAATTAAATTTTCTATATCTAGGAAAATAAATTAAATTTCTATCGCAATATGAAGATCTTTACCCTTATCATTGGTTTTTCTTTGCTATTTAGCATTTCATCGGTAAGCATGTTGCGTTAATAAAACTCTAAAAACCAGTCAGTTTCTAGCTATTTTATAGATTCATATTAGCTTTGTAAATGTGAGTTAAAGCGATAATTCGCCATAGCAAGATCGTTTTATGTCTCAGCCTGACATCGAGTAGAATTTGTCCATAAAGCAATTATCCTAGAAGTACTATGCTCATTTTCTAGATTCTGATACGAAAGCTAATACATATTGGGGCTATACTTTGGTCGAATTATGATTAAAGATTTTATCATTTATCTATTCTACGGTAAATGTAAAAATTGAACAAGTTTAAATACGCAGCCATGAATTGTAATAAAATTAACATACTTCAGTTTTGTACGTAATTCTATATTGACATTGTTCAAGGTAAGAAATGATCGTTGTTTTGATTGACCTGAAGATCTTTGATATATATTAATAGATTCTTGAAATGTTAATGATCAAGCAGTCTTTACTAAACGAATAAAAATAACTGTAGTGGATCAATTAGTCCAAAGACGTTCTCCTTTTAAACCAACTAATTCGCATGATTTAACTTAAGCAAATATATAAAACAAATCTAATAGGTATTACTTACTGAAGGTATCCTAAATGACGGCATAGAATTATATCTGATTTGAATAGTGATGATACATATATCATAGAATTAACGTTCTACGTCAAACTTAAAAAACTATCGGATAATCTTGTCAGCCCGGTTTCATATAAACATTTTTCGTAAAATACCGAATTATTCGTCAATTAAAATCGGTGCTAACAGTACTCTTACTACTTATATTTTATTAGGTCAGGAGTGCGGTAGTATCGAAACCAAGAACTTGTATGGATTTATCCTACGAAGGCAATTTTGTTGATAAACCAGCAGTTTTATACGACGATCAAGATAAACCATTCCAGACCTTTTGTCGTAAACTTGGCAACTCTATTTTAACCATGTTCGAGTCCTATAGCAAGAACAATTCCTTACATTCAAGCATTGCTCATAGCTACTATGTTGATTCTCCCACTAATACTGGAATTTTATCTCCTGGTGTAGCATTTCCCTTTGATTTATTTCGTCTCTCTAAAAGTCAAATGGTCAGTATTACCTCAAAAGGAAGGTTTATGTGCACCCAGTGCATCACTGTAACCACGTCAGGGCAGAATAAGTATAGCATATTAGGAAATGAAGTGCTGAAATTAAAAAGCACTCCATCTATAGCGAAATCATTATTCGAAACACCTAGCCTAAATGATGGAATGGATAACTGTGTTCCTGTCTTCTTTATGTCAGCTCTGAACAGACCAGTCGCTAATAGAAAGATGCCTGCCTATAGCAGGCAAGATATTCATTTTCATTTAAGTATGGACGAAGCCGCTAGTCGATGTGATAAAGTTAGTTTCGGCCAAATGTCGAATAAGGATGAAGCCGATAAGTGTGGTGTTGCAGATTCTCCGGCAGGAGCACCTATTACTTATAACTTATTTGGCAATTATAACAAGTGTACTCGTCAGTTTAGTTGTTCAAAGAATGAAAATTCGATTACGGCCTGGTGGGTTGAAGAAGAGATAGCACCCTAAAGACGAAAATGTAATTAACGTATAATTCTTATAATTCTTCTCTAGCCACTCAATATACTTTAAGTAATCCGATAATATTGTATGCAAAATAATAGTGCTAGTGATTAGTCTATGAGTAATTATGTAAAGTAAATGTGGATCAACCTTAGCATAATCTAATTTACGCAGCGGTTACTTGCTTATTTGATCAGAGTATGTAGTATGTTAGTAAGGTGCTAATCGTTAATTAATTTGTAGATAATATCTTTGTCATAAACTGTAATCGTGCTTAAATTTTCAGTAGAATATCAACATAAATGCGATCTAGATTATCTTTGCGTAGTGTATCCCGTGGACAAGTATAATTATGTTAATTGAAAGTGAATTACTATAAACATTAGTACATTATTTAGAGTATAGTTTATTCAAGTAGAATTTCTATATACGAATTGGTTTTAGCGAGATTTTGTTGCTATATTATATTATCGGTATTCAAATACAAAATCGTTATTTCTGTCAACGCATCATCATATGTACACGTATTAGATCATAGCGTTTTTGCATAAATCATGCAAGCCTGATCACCTAATAAATGCTAAATAGAATGGCAATTACAGCATTACTAGATTTTTACTGATTTATGTTACGATTTATTCGCTTCTGATTAAATTATTAATATAGAATAAAGTTAATCGATACTAAAATAATATCTTCCTGATGTTGGTTGCATATAGATGCCAGATTTAATGCAATTAGTAATTATCATTAATAAGATTTATATCTTTTAGGTAATTTTTGACAGTACTTACGTCATATCTTATGTATCAACTGCATATTCTGCCTAAATAGATTTCGTAATTCTCATACATGATTACAAATTGCATCATAGTTTTAAAAATAAATACTAAACCTTTCGTATAGCAATAAAATTAACTCTGGATTGGGAAGCAAATTACTGATGAAAATCATTGTTTAGCATCTTACTCTTACTATCGGAATAAATAGATTTAGATGGTTTTGGTTACTTTGTAGTGGTAGCTGTGTAAAGGATTATCATGACCGACGTTGGGGCACAATGATATAATATAAAATAGGAATTTCTCCCCACCCCCTCATTGATCCAGCAAATCTACTTCGTAAGCTGATGTTAAGTAGAATTGTTCATCTAAAAATTTTTATACTGATATAATCGGTGCTGGTCTACTTTTTATCCTACAGAAAACTCTTTGATCAACGTGTATAATCTACTTATTTATTAGCTATTTTAGTTTAATTTATTTTAAATTGAATAGTAGCCTAGAGTGAGCAGTAACCATGATAAAGTATGATATTCATTAAATCCTTTATACTACAAGTGAAAAGAGGATTTTGTATATGACGGCTATCGAATCAAAGCAGATAAGATATGCCAACAAAAATTAATTTAATGTGCGTAACTGCTAATGTGGAAGTAGACCAACATCAACATCTAAATACTATACATATGAATTGGATGATTAATATTTCAATCTACTTTCGATAATTTAGGCCAATTTGGAATATAACACTATCCATATTGCAAGGAATATATTAATTACCTGAATAAATATAGCTAATAATATGACGTCATGGTACAACTTCCTGAGATAAATTCTGATCATAATCTAGCATAGCAATGGTAAGAGAGTCTTAAGACATGAATGATTCATACAAAAATATCAACGATAACGAATAGACCATATGGTGGTCAATGTTACATTAACATATTGCTATCATTCATGATAGAGTCATGACATAATGAATTTATATTATCTAAAAGGGACAAGTTGAATAGAAAAAGTACGTGTATAGAGACTAAGTTTGATACTATACAGTAGCTGTCGACACTTACCTATGTGATCCGACTCTGCTGTTTTGATTTTGCTCTTAAATATATCTAACGTGAAGTGAGATTAAGTAAAGGAAAACAACTGATATCAATAGCCAATACCAAATACTTCCTGTCCGATACCCTATTCCCATATTTCGCTATCATTTCCTATCGTGGATATAAAATAGAACTGTTAAGTAATATAAAAATTTTCATTTACAAAATGGATGGGGACCAGCTTGGTGGACAATATGGCTATAGTGAAAGAGCTTATTTAACGCCTGATGATGATTATAATAGGGAAAAATCTCAAAATGCATACGAATACTCTGAAGCTTTTGCAGATCAATCTATAAGATTAGGTTAGCTCGTGATAGCGATTCTATCACTGCATACCTATCCTTTATCGTAGCTATATTCAATTTTGGATTGTTAAAATTTAAGTGATTATTATTGTATTGATGCTTAATTTAATCAAATTTCTTGTTGGTTTGCATTAAATAATTTCATGGCTACTATATTTGGCATTGTAAATTCGTGCCGTTGGTTCCAATGCCATTTTTACCATGACGTCCATTCTTCGAAATTTAATGGCTAATACTTGCATGAATGTTACTGAAATGAACGATTTTCCTGTTAATAAATTACTAAACCGCTTTACTCAATCTCGGAATTACCAACGTCCTTTATCACATATTTATTGGATCTTTACGTGATAGCTTTTATCAGAAAGGTAATACTAGCATACAGCTTGTTTATCCTATAAATTTTATTTGACTGACCTAATAGCTGTAATGAATCTTAAACATGGTAGGACTACAGAAAACACAAGCATCCAAACATATTGTAGTTGTAACATTTAGGGTTTGTAGTATATTGGCTTTCATAGCATGAAACAGGAACAGTCTACTATTAAGATGCGCTAACGGTACCTTGTATTACATTATAGTCATCATTGTAGTATTCTGAAATCATAACGAAATGACCATGAATAATTCCGCTCTGTAAATACTTAATTTCGATCTATTTGTATTGCTATAATCATCGCTTAATCGTGATGAGAAAAATTTTTATTAAACTATATGTAAGTTGCATAAAGTCTTCTACGATGCTTGTATATAATATTTAATTAATACTTTACTGCAAAGGTAAACTAACTAATTAATTATAATAACCCACAGCTTTATTTTAGGTACTTGAGATCTAGTATCTGCCTAAAAGTTATAAAAATTAAATACTATTGAGTAGGGAGAAGTTAGAAATCATGAAACTGTTCAGACGCTATTATTGTTTGCATGGCCTTATCTGAGATTTAGTGAATATTTAATTTATAGTTTTATACAAGATTAAAACATCAAGCCAATGTTGGAACAATTCGCGAAAACTTACTTATAGGGCATATTATTTCTGTTAAACGAGTTTAATTCATCTTTTAGTATTCTAATAATGTATTTCAAGTAACAGTTGCTAAATATTTTTTGTGTTTGTTTCACCTTGCTGGCTTATGATTAAGAGATAATTATTGCTTACAGGTTTATTGTCTATTATTCATTCAACTGTTGATTACTTGCGGAATTACAGCGCTGTTTATATTCGTGTAAGTAATTGATTTCTTTGCGTTAATAGTAACAAGTAATACTAATTACGACAACCAATATCATGCTTAATTGAAGACGATTTCAATACCTACATGACTAGTCATTGACCTTAAACTGATTCATAAGAAGATAGTCCAATTTGAAGTTACCGTTAGCAGAATTCAAGTTTACGATCGAATCTAGGAAAATTTCTTTGATTTCGGATAACACAAAAACATTTTTATTGCTTATTATAAACTTTAGGAAGCCCATCCAAGAATTTATTCATCAAAATATGTGGATGTATATTTTGGGAATGTAAGGAGCTTGCATAGATGCATGTAGTTGCTTTAGTTTGAAAATGGAGTATTTATTTCCAGAGATAAGTAATTAATGTTTCAATGTCTTCACATCTGAAATTTACCGAATCCAGTGTTTTATTACTGATCGTGACCGTTATCATGGGGAGCGTAGTTGAAGCAAGGCAAGTTAATGTTATTTTGTAACAGTATGTGTTGTTTGGACGCCAAGTTTAATATATATAAGATAAAGATGTTTTCTTTTCATGATTTAATGATTGTAATAGTTACTAGTATATTTATTATCCATTGTAGATATCTATTTTCATTGTGATCATTAAACATCATTTTATTGATTTTAATACACAAGGATACAAATGTCGCCATTAAAAGATATTTAATCTAAAACTATTTAATGTCTAATTGTAGAAGAGAGATCCCTTATAACTACATCTGCCTTTTAATTTATGTAAGTAACAAATGCGAATAGGTCTAAAATTATATCTTTCGTCATTAATCCTTGACAAAACGACTACATTGAAAAAGATTAAGTTAGGCCATTGCTCTTTCTATCGATATACTGAAATTGAGTTATGCAAAAGTTATATCATCGTATTTATATTTTTCTAGACATTGATTATGTCATTTATGGTCGGCACTATTGCTAGGTAAGCTAGAATATTGCTTATTTTGACCTTGTGCGTATGAGATAATTTTAACTACCTCAATTACATGGCAAATTGATAATCAGTTAGAAAGATATCTGCGTTATTCTTAGAGATTTCTTTATGCAGCAATAATACTGTTGGGCAGTAGGATTTGGTAGAATGATACTGCAAGAGTCTGCTTGTTCTATATAATTGCAATATAATTCATCAGTATTCGATATTTGCCTGCTTTCGCGCTTTTTCCGTTTTCTTTACTTTGATTTGTAGCTATTTGAAAGTCAGAATGATATATGTATCTGTTTTTATAGATGACATTTAAATGCTTTTCATCTTAATTTAATATTGTATGGCATTTATCACCTTTTTGCTCTTCCTTTACCTTGTTTTATAGCTATTTCAAAGTCAGCGCAGTTATGATAGCGTTTGGGATTGTTTCGGTAATTATTTTTCATCTTATTTTAGGCTAATATTGTCTTGTAATTGTTTAGCTAATTGGCTTGGAGGGAAGAAATGCATCATTTGTATTAATATTTTTCAAATTTTAGATTGTAGCATTTGTTATTACGATCTTTTCTCTACAGACAAAGGTAGTTATGATAATTATATGAAACTTTGTGAAAAATCATTTTTAATTGATTCATTACATGCCCGAGTATTAATCCTTATTAATGCAATACTTGGCGTTAGATGGATTTTACGTCACAAGGTGGATTATTATTGGGATTATTGGGTGTTTTAATGGGTTTTGGATTCTTTTGCATCTTTTTCTATAACAGGGTAAGAGAATTTTTCAGCTCTTGACATTTACTCATGGCTTATTCATGTCTATTCAATCCAAGTTTGATTAAATAAAATCCGTTGTACTTTAATAGATACTTTATATCGTCTACGCCAGCATAGGGGCATTTATATTCACTTTGGTAAGATAATGCTGAATGAATTAATAGATATATCTGCCATTAATGGATGATGTAACTTTGATTTTCTTTCAAGTTTTATTTCGTTGCCAATCTCTATTTAATAACTAAATACTACCTTTCCTTTTAGTACCTGATATATAATACACAGCTGATGATGTGGGGCCAAAAACGATATGCTATTTCTCCAGAAGAATATATTTTCGCAACTTTAAATTTATATAGTGATATTGTCAACCTGTTCATTATGATATTAGAAATCATTGGCTTAGCTGAAGCACGTTAATTATTCAAAATTATAGTTTTTAAATGAGTGTCAGTGATCTCTATCGACTGATTACTAACTAGATTAATCTATAAGATAGTTAGCGGATCTACTCCTACGAATTGTCTCATTTCAAATTTATTTAGACTCTTTATTGATCCTACTCGTATAATATCTAATAAACGATTTGTCAAATTGGATTTATTACCTGTAGTGTTTCTATGCATGATGAAGTCGAGTTGACAGGTTTACTCTTCAGTCAGGCACTATAATTTAAACTTGGCAATCCAATCTAGCTAGATGATTGCTTTCTACTGTCCATTATTATTTTCACATGGTTCAGCTTATATTGGCTTTGGGGTTTGCGATCTCCCAGTTAATTTCCTTCCTATTTTGCTACTTAGTACTTGTTAGAATTGCTTCAATAACTTTTAGTATTGCTGTATCGTCGTCCATATAGTACCTACTGTCATGAATTACTAAAACATGCGATTGGTACTACTTCTTAGCACCACCAATGTAGTGGCCGGGTATTGATTTGACTTTTGGAAAAATCTATCAATCATATCGTGATACACTCGTATAGAGTCAAGTTGGTCCTTCCCATTAAGTTCTATAGTAAGATAGATCATGATCCAATAGATTATGGGCAATATGTATCATTCGGTTGGGAATTTGCTATCTGTGCCCTTCCATCATCAAACTGAACTTGCGAACTACTACCCTAAACGAATAGATTACTTATTCCTATCTCCACAACACCTGGAAGTCTACTGTGTAGTAGTCCTGTACTACTTACGGTCTCTCACGGATAAAACTTTTCTAACTGTTTAGCATAGCTTTATTAATCGGGTAGCCGAAACGCAATCTAATCACGAACTGAGGAGCTGAGCATTCGCTCCTCCTTTTATACCCTACCACCCAACTTGTAGCAATGAAGCTGAACAAGCTTCATAGCTGAATAAGTTTCATAGCTAAATAAGCTTCATAGCTGAATAAAGTTTCATAGCTGAATAAAGTTTCATAGCTGAATAAGCTTCATTACCGAAAAAGCTTCATAGCTGAATAAAGCGTCATAGCTGAATAAGCTTCATTACTGCATAAGCTTTATATCTGAATAAAGCATCTTAACTGAATAAGCTTCGTTGCTAAATAAGCTTCATAGCTAAATAAAGCTTCATAGCTGAATAAAAGGTCATAGCTGAATAAACTTTATAGCTGAATAAGCTCCATAGCTGGATAAAGCTTCATACCTGAATAGGCTTCATTACTGAATAAGCTCCATAGCTGGATAAAGCTTCATAGCTGAATAGGCTTCATTGCTGAATAAGCTCCATAGCTGGATAAAGCTTCATAGCTGAATAAGCTTCATTGCTGAATAAGCTTCATTGCTGAATAAGCTCCATAGCTAAATAAAGCTTCATAGCTGAATAAGCTTCATTGCTGAATAAGCTTCAGAGCTGGATGAAGCTTATAGCTGAATAAGCTCCATAGCTGGATAAAGCTTCATAGCTGAATAAGCTTCATTGCTGAATAAGCTTCATTGCTGAATAAGCTCCATAGCTAAATAAAGCTTCATAGCTGAATAAGCTTCATTGCTGAATAAGCTTCAGAGCTGGATGAAGCTTATAGCTGAATAAGCTCCATAGCTGGATAAAGCTTCATAGCTGAATAAGCTTCATAGCTGAATAAGCTTCAGAGCTAAATAAAGCTTCATAGCTGAATAAGCTTCATTGCTGAATAAGCCCCATAGCTGGATGAAGCTTATAGCTGAATAAGCTTCAGAGCTAAATAAGCTTCAGAGCTGAATAAGCTTCAGAGCTGAATAAAGCTTCATAGCTGAATAAGCTTCATAGCTGAATAAGCTTCATAGCTGAATAAGCTTCATAGCTGAATAAGCTTGACACATGGCAATTTACCAACATAACATTGACATGGTTAATGAGCCGGGGCTTGATTTCGGTGCGGTACGTTAGGCGGTTTCAACTATCGGGTAGAGTACTATAGAATGGCCAGAGAACTGGAAAAACCTCCCCCCGGCTATGGTGAACGTCAACACCGTACAGACTACGAGCAGGGCCTACAGTGTCTATTCAGTACCGGTGGTACTGTACTAAGTGGACTACTGTGCAGTACAGTACAGTTACTATTAACAGAAAGCGTTTATAAGTGCAACCACCGGCCCCCGTGGTACCAGTGTTGACTGTGTTCCACACAACAACAAATTACGTGGATACAGGGTTATTTTGCCCCCCCCCCCCCTTTTGGATCCACTTGGCTGCTGGCTAGAGTTGCTGAGCAACGCCTTTGCGATAGGAATGAAATGTTTCTAGCTACATTTGTGATCGCTTATTTACTTTCCTTGGTCACTACGAATGATATTCCTGCCACTGAATTGGATCTTGAAGAGCTAAAGCAAGTCCAATATGGGTTGGAAATTCAGACTACCCCAGTGGTTGAAAATTTAGTAAGTTAGGATAACGTTGAATCCGAGATCGCCTCGTCATCATCATCATGTCCTTGGAGGCGTAGATGAAATTCTTCGCAAAGGATCATCAACCAATAGACTTTGCTTTCATAATTGTTCTAACTTGATATCTAGCTGGATTTCATCATAATCTTCATCATGGAACGAGTCGGTCTGGGTGTTCTGACAATATCCATGTCCAAATCCATGGGTAATGGCGCACCTTTTCCATCTTGTCTTGATGCAATGGAATACTGTACTCGTAGTAGTTTCTACTTTCATACCAGTCATAAACCCACCTTAGATAGTGTTTGCCAATGAGATGGATGAGAATGATGAAAGGAGACTCGATTCCAAATTGACGAGACAAAATAGTACTTTATGGATACGGCACGTTATATTGCACTAGACGAAGACGATCTTATTCCATAATCACTTCCATCGAAAGTGTTAATATTGCGTTGACATTTTTGGATGGATTATTTGAATGGGGTAATAGCCAATAATACTGGATAATATAGTCATACAGTAGTGCTGTTATGCTACGCTTACAAGTTCATAGAGTAATTTTCATACCAGCCATAAACGTTTGCTAGATAGTATTTGCAATGAAATGGATGATGATGGAGGAAAGGAGACTCGCTTGCGAATGGACTAGATAAATACTTTGCATTTTGAATACGAGCACGTTACATCACGTTAGACGAATACGATCATATTCCAGTACGAAAATAGCCTTGGTATTTTTTATCCATTACTTAAATAGGGATAATATTCCAGCTCATTTGGTAATTTTAATTTTTTGATGCGGCACTAGTAATGATAGATAAAGATGTACAGTAGAAACACTTCAGTTTTCAATCACGTCAACACCTTCTGTAAGGAAGATGCTTTATTGGACGAATTTTCTTCAATTACCATTAACTTTCTCATAGCTAGTAGCTGTTATTAGCCTGCAGAGTATATACGTAATATTAGCTTTAAACTTTGAAATGGAGGTTGGCGGGGGAAAGTTAGCTCACAAGTGGCCATGGTGAACTTTTCTCTGATTATAATTACTATTGATTTCTATAGGAAAAGGACAATAACGATGACAATCCTGCCTTCACAATAAAATCGAAATATGGCCAATTATATTATTGTACTATTCCAAAGTGGAAAGAGGAAATTCAAACTCAAAAGGCTACTTCCAATACGACTAATATTACCGAGCTACTTCGTCCATTAGAGAATACATGTATGACAAAGGTATTGACGTAGTTTTTTGTATTTAGAAATGTACTCGACTTTATCTGTCAATTCAATATTGTCATTCAATCTGGAATTAATATATAGAATTTGGAATTTCGAACTTCGAATGAAAACACTTAAAATTTTAAAGATACGAGTATTATCGACAAAAATGCTGTGTTTAATATATCTATTTTGTTTATAGAGTAAAGGATGGTGGACGTATAAATTTTGCTATAATGATAGGATAGAACAGTACCATATTCAAGGTAATGATGTTATTGTTGTTATTGACTTTTTACTGATAAATGGACCCTTTTGCCAACTACTTGACTATTTGCTCTTGCTGTCTTGTCCATTAGATGATGAAATTACGGGCGATATTATCAGTCTTGGATCGTTTGAATCGGAGAAAGATTGGAGTAAAGAAGATGAGGTATTGGTGTACTAGACTTAGTAGTGTAATAATTAAATGTGCATTATTGCAGCTTCTCTGGTGATTTCATCTTATTGGCAATACAGGAACTTATTATGTATTTTCATCATTATCTCACTTTGTTATTAATACTATGTGCCTCTTCAATTTTTACTATTTTCATGACCTTACTATTTCATTACTGATTAGACATTACATGAACTACAACGGTATCACTCACAAATGTATACCAATGGAAGCGTTTGCGATTCTACAAATAAAGCCAGACAGACTCAGATTAAAGTATGCAAATAACATGCTATCGTCATAGCAATTGATATACTGCACTGACATTTTATTGAGAGGGTATTCGTACTCAAAGACATAATGTCTATTTACTAACTGGTTATAAATTACTCATTAAATACTACGTTAACATTTTCTACTTTATAGCTATATTGTGAAGAAGATAGCGAAAATTATATTGGCCGTATTTCTGAACCAACTGAATGTGTTTATGTTATCAATATATTTACTCCTCTACTGTGTCAGCACCCATCACTTAGACCTAAAGCCGCGGTAAAACCTCGACCTATCAGTTGTTCACCTGTTTTAAATGCTGTGGAATATAGCAATTATCAGCAGATGATAAAAGGTAACTACATAGGGTTTTTGGATTACGATTTCTAATTCGAACTAGATAGATTATAAATGTACTTCTTAATTACGTTTGCTTTTAACTCTACTCTCTTGTAATCATCTCATTGCGTTATAGAAACAGTACCTAGTAAGAATAATGATATGGCAAACAATAATAAACATCTTAATAGTGTTCAACAATATAAGCAAATTGTGAAAGATATCGTAAGTCCTAGAAGACTGATCACGTTTTAGATGTTAAAGATCTCTCATTTATCGGTACCTTATTATATTCTAAACTTGATTCCCAGGTTGCAGCGAAAGCTAAAACTAATGACGCAGCCAATAGGAGCGGTATCAAAAAAGGAACATTTAAACAATGTACTGCTCGGGAAAGACCGAATGAAGGTAATAGCGTTCAGCGTTACTGGCAGATTGTAAATGACATCGTTAATTCTGGAAAGAGCACACAAACAATCACGACTGAAGACAAACTCAGTTATCGACTTGCAAACGGTAACAAACCATCGGCAACTTCGAAATCTTCAACAATAATTAAACAACTTGGTGAGGAAAAATGGAGTGATAAACATGACAATCTCATCCAGAATGCCGCTTTGGATCGCAGCTCGAAATTGATTTCCAAAAAGAGTGGTTCTGATCGATATCTAGAACTTTATATGAAAATGATATACATTGAAGAGTTGAAGTACTTATTACGAAAGTATCGAACTATATTAATGAAATATCATGAAGCTGAAAAAATAGATGAAATAACTCCAACTGAGACCAAAAAAGATGTATTGGAGTCTAATGATGAGCATCAACAGGATGGTGCCAATAAAAACATAGATTTAAAACGTTCTAAGTTGTCGAGCAACTTTCAGTTAAACGCGATCGATAGAATGACCCATATCTTAAAAGTAATATCTTCAAAATTGAAATTGAAACTATCACGAATTATCGGTAAAGTATTACTGTATAAATTGCCATAGCTAAGGGATCAGTGTTTATTTGTGCAAGAGCTTTAATTTTTGTAATATTGGCAATAAATAGCGAACTAGCAAGAATACGTTGCCGAATAAGGATGATAGCGCCGCCAGTAATTGTCATTTTTTTTTCTTTATCTTTTATACATTGTGTAGAAGCACCTAAAAAGAATACTGTACCTGATCAGCAAGATGAGATTGATCGAAATGCAAATGAAGAAAGCATTGGTACTTCATCAAAAACTGATAAAAGATCCAACGAAATTGTCAAATTTGTAAAAAGTGTATTGAAAGGCATGAAAATAAACCCTGGTAAGTTTTAAAAATGCGTATAAAGCTTGCTGTCTATAAAGATAGCAATACTGCGTGTTTAGAAAGTTGCTTAAAGTTTATAACTAACGCTATTACAGCTGACGTGGAAGTGCGAATAATTACCGTCAATAATGATGACATGGGGGATGATAAAACGCTAACAAACAAAGAAAAACAAAATTTGGAAAATGCCATAAAGACTTTATTTGTAAGACATCGTGCTAATGATAAAACATCCCTTATACTGAATGCTAAGCAAAGAGTAACAGTCCTGTACATACCGTAATCATACTTGGCTGAGCTAAGTTTATATAACATCGCTAATGCTAAAAGCTAAGTAACGAATAATTTTACATACGGTAATTATACTTTGTTGAGTCAGTTTTACGGTTCAGCTAATGGGTCAGATTTAATGATTGATTCTTGGGCAATGATAGGGAATTTTGTAAAGTGCAAAGTTATAACGATATACTAACACTGATAAATTTATTAGTAGATAGAGCAGAACGAATTTTCGAGATCTCGGCCTTTAAACTGAGTACGCTCTAATAACGTCATTTAATTTCCTTACAATTTGCATTCATATTGCAGGGCAGTAAGGAGCAACTCCAACAAGAAGAAATTCGCCAGCGTAAACTACAAGAAGGGTATAACTTTAAATGGCCAATTAACAAGGAAGCACATTAAAAATAACGTTAAAGTTTTTATTTCATAGTAAAGTCTGACTGAGTATTCACATAATACGCATACATAGATCATCATCTTGTTAAACAAATGTATGATACGATTGCTATGATCTATATTTCTAAAAAAATTGAATGTACACATTTCTATACTTTATACTATTAAACTATGTAACATTTACATTCGCGGGAATAAAATGTATGCACATATCCCGTAACACAGTATACATATAATTATCAAATAAACGGTGTAAACTATTAACTCTATGGGCTCTATAAACATCGGCAATATAGGAACTTTAATACGCTAACGACCGAAATTTCGCAAGTTAAGATTTCACTTAGATATCTTTCTGTTAGGCCCCAAATTGCTATGCAATTTAAAAGTAACTCTTCAATTTGATATCCATTATTTGCTAATGCTCTCTCAAGAATCAGCAGATACTATACCTCATGCAAAAACGATCAGTTATCAAATCTCAACTACACTGTCAACATTTGCTGTGGTAGAAACGATAACCTAGTATAAATAAGGAGCGCCGTGCGTGGTACATCAACGGTAATGACACTTTAAAGTATTATTGCTTTGCTTTTTACCGTGATAACAAAAAATGAACTGGTTACAGATTAGAAAAATTATTAATATTATGAATTTTTTGCCGAAAAGTCAAAGTAGAAGTCTCTACTTTAGAAATTTAGGTGAATACAAATAATTTGATTCGTAGATCAGGAACCGCTTAATTACTTTCAATTTCAATTTAAATATTTACATAACTTTAGTTCATGCAATTTTTACTCCGACTTAAGTCTCCCTAAAGTCATCGATACTCGCTTTCCGATTTAATAGCATCATCTAGAACGTTGTTGCAAGCTTTTGTGTTACTAACATTGCTCTTTTAATTAAAGGATTGCTTTCAAAGCTACTCTTCATGGTAACCTGATAATTAAAATTTGAGATTAAATCCAGCACCACCAGCAGCTTTTCCTTGCGTAGCGTAGGTAATTCTGAAACCATCTGCAGCGCCTGCAATCTGAGATTCGATTTCATCGTCCTATTACGTATAATTGTTACTTTAGAATTACGGATTAGGTAGTGAATTTGTACTTAGTTTACTACGTCATTTACGAAGATGGATTGTCTGTCACTGAATTGAATTAATTACTTTACACATGCCGCCTCCCTCCGGAGCGGTCGGGCTTCGATTAGCTTTACTAGGGCGTTTCATCAGTTCACTTTTGGCGGGCCAGGTTGGAAACATTGAGGGATCTAGAGGTCGGGGCTCTTGCTGTAGAGGGCATAATACAGTATTTACTTGAATTATTACAATTTTGAACATAAGTAATCCGACAGTCTACAACTTTCAATATTGACTACCTGAAAATATTCGTGATTGAGCGCATCCTCGGCTGATATTCTCTTTTTCGGATCGTAAGTCAAAAATCTGATGAAAGATTTTTAGCAAAAATGATATTGAGTTTCTAGCGCTAATGGCAACAAGGATTAGCATGTGAAATCATCAATATATTATTAATAATTCTATTACCTATTTAATAAATCAAATCCTTGATCAGTTAAATAGGCTCCAAATCTATCTCTAAGTCTGTTGTACGGCTGTTCCGTAAAAGTTACCTACCATATGGGTTTAATTTAGTCAGTAACATGCATTACGTGTACAATTGTTTACATTACGACAATTTGAAATAAGTAATAGTGTCCTTATAACCTTCTTTGCAACTGGCAATTCAGAAAATCCAGACCATATTTGATCATTAGGGGTGCCTAAGTCCTATAAAGCGAATGATTGAACTTTTCATGTTACGAGTCGAAAGACTTGGCGTAGTTTGAATCAATCTTACCTTAAAAATCTTGTTCAACTGATCAATTTCTGATTTTCCCGGAAATAATGGCTTCTTTACGAGAAATTCACCAAAAATACAGCCAACAGACCACATATCAACAGCAGTAGAATACTCCTAAAATATAAAACAGTACTTAGTACATAGCATAAACGTATAAAACAATATTGATAATAACAGTAATGGTAAAATCCTAAGGATCATAACATCATTTACTATCAAGACGTCATCACTATATAGTTACCTTTACACCCAGAAGTAGTTCAGGGCAACGATACCATAAAGTTACCACAATAGAAGTGTAAACTTTTAGAGGAGATCCATACTCTCTAGCCAAACCAAAATCTCCAACCTATCGCAAAGTCATAAGTAAAATATTAACATGGAGAATTATAATGGGGTAAAGATAGTACTGCAGCTTCAGTAGCCTACTTTTAAAATGCCTTGATGGCTGAGAAGTAAATTGGAAGTTTTCAGGTCACGATGTAAGATCCAGTTATCATGTAAATGTTGGACAGCGGATAATAACTGCTTCATTAAGCATTTCACTTCACCTAGGAAAATGGTGGTAATACTTGCAATTGTTCGTCTACCGATTAATTAATTAATAGCAAAATTTAAAACTTACTAATGCTGAAAGGTTGTGACATCGATTCCATTAAAGTCTTTAAGTCATGTTCAACGTACTCCATTACAATATAGATCTTATCCATATTGCTACCAACTACTATCTCCTAGTAATGTATCACAAAGTGCAGTAAATGGAACTGTGTGAGACGTTTATCCATATAGGTGCGAATATTTCTTTTAAGTTTGAAATACTGTATATCACCAAAACTTACTCTAACGTGTACAATATTCGGATGATCTGCTTTTAATAATGTATTAATCTCCCTTAAGGAAGTAATCGGAAAACCTTCTCTTTCTTTTTCCATTTTTAATCGTTTTAAGGCAACAACTTCGTCTGCAACGGAAAATTTTCATTATCTCACCAAGAAATTCTTTTAATTAAGACGAATACAAGTCCTAATCTATATACACGATGATATGTACCTGATTTTAAGTCCTTAGCTCGATAAACCACTCCATAAGTACCTTCTTCAATTCTGTTTAGCCATTCAAACGCTTCAACACTTCTACAGCCCTGGACGGCAGGAAGGTAAGGTGGTAATTCTGCTTCTGAATCATTAATATACAGTATTGGCAGAAATGTAAGCTACATAGCATCAATAACAATATTCAGTCTCAACTATTGGAAAGCATTACAACTATTAAGGCTACATAGTGGCATACCCTTTTCACCATCGGAACCTGATTCAGGGCCTTGCTCATCAGCAATACTTCCATCAAGATCAGTACTTTTTATCGATTCATCATTATGTTCATTCTCCTCGTCTTCGTCCTTTTTCGTGCAAAAATATGGATTGGCTATTGCTCCAGCATGTTAATAATAGTAATTTCAAAAGATTATCCATGTTCAACTAACCTCGATGATAGAACGCTCCTCGTTGATGAGATTATCTTGATCGCTTTCTTCGCTACTTAATTCTACATCTACAACTTCCATTGTCTCAGCAGCTGGTAAAAGATTGCTACTAGCTCTAATGTCGGTTTTTAATTTATCGTGGCGAATTAACGTCCTAAAGAGAAAGGTTGATATATTATGATAGGATCATGGAAAGTGAGTGATTATAAATTAGTAGATTTTATTTTGCTGTAAATATCTTACTCTTCTCTTTCAACTTTATTGGGGATAGGTGATTTATCTGTAGTATTGTATAAATTATCTGTCAATTCTTTTCGGCTTTCTCTCCCTTTGCTATCGAAATATTTAGGAGATTTGCTATCGGATGAACTTTCCCGATGATATCTATCGCTATAATGAGATCTGGAAGATCGTTCACTTGATTTGTATCGATCACTTCGAGAATCATCAGCATGGTATTTGTGAGATCTTTCGCCTACACGTCGCTGACTGCGTGCAGAAAATCTATCACGATCACTGGAGTAACGACTGTCACGATTTCTTTCGCTCTCTCTTTCACGCTCTCGATCGCGATCTCTTTCTCTTTCGTAATGATATCTGGAAGTATGTATATCTTTTTCGGAAGAACGATGACCTGTTAAAGCTGTGGTTATAATACCGCATACTAGTTAATAGTTGAAGAGCTGATTTGTTTACGTATCCTTTGGCTACTGGGTATATTTAATGACGCTACGAGGAGAACGACCGACTATCATGGTACTTTCTCGAAGTCGAACTAATAGACACATTATCAAGCTTTCTAGCATTGCAATAACTGAGGGTACAATAAAATAGAGCCAGCTATTACAGCGTCAGTGCAATGCAGTATTGAATATGTACGGTACAGGTAAAATTGTGTTAATTGCCTTTATTTGTCTTGGTTCAATTCAAATTGACGTCATGCTTACCTCTATCATCTCGTTTTCGACTACTAGTTGTGCTTATTTGCCGGTTAGAAATGATAGACGAATCTGCGGCTGGCACAAATTCTTCTTTTCGTTCAACTTCGTCTCTATCCTTGATTTCTCCCTCTTCATAATCATCTAATTCATCATTCTGACTTGCATGATTTCGCTTGGTAGGTTTTGTATCATCGATATGGTTTAAATTTTCTTCGCCGCTGCTAATAATCTCTCCTTCGTCTAGCTCTAAAGCTGCAGATGTAGTTTCATCTTTAGTGTCGGAGGTTACGTCTGTTAAGTAAAAAGTGAAAACGTTAAGATTGCTACAACGGAAGCAGCTGGAGTATTACACGAGTAAATTGCTAACTACGGCGCAAAAGATATTTATTTGTACGTCATTTTTTAAAATGTTATCCAATCGCTAGGGTCTGTGTTGCCAACAATTCAATTGTCCTTCTTGTTGATATGATAGATTTTAACATGGTCAATAAGATGAAGGATATCTCAGACATATTCTTTGAATCAAGATTGTACAGTATCAGTATATCATCGGAATACGCTTTAGCTATTTTCAAATGACATTGATACTATATGAAAGTCTGAATTGACCATTTGGACAGGAATGGATGACTGCATCAAGAAAGATGGACTCAATTTGTTATGGTAGCAGTCGCGATAATAATAGTAGTAATGTAAAGCTAAAAGTCCCATATCATGTTCTAGCTAAGTTATAAGAAAATAACAAGCTACAGATTATAATTTCCAGCATGATCCGTTGATGACTTTCCAACTGTGTATTTCTACAGCTAGCATGTAAGCCTTGGCAGAAGCATGCATGATACATCGGTACACTCTTGGTAATGAAGTTGATGGTATCAGTCAAGAATTGGCTACCTGGAGAATCTTCTGTCTCAGCAATATTTTCACTGTCTGATCTAGATCGATTTCTTTTCTCTTGTAGTATTTCTTCTAAGGTTTTGACTTTGATAGAATCTAAATTTTGGTTGTGCATTTCTTGAGCTTTCTTGGTAGCCATTGGTGATTGCAGTGTGATTTTAGCCTTTCTAACGTCCTGCTGCTTGTTTGAAGTTGTTTTAGTACTATACCCTACAGCATTTGACCACTCCAAGTACAGTGCATCCAGTGCGTTCGATACAGTACGAACTACCGTGACTGTACATTGTACACTGTGTAGTACTACAGTACAGTACAGTACAGTACAGTATGGGGGCCATTGACCACGATCTACGCATACTCTATTCTTTTGTTAGAAGGATTGGACTGAAATTTCAGTTCGTACTGCAGATTCATGATATTTTAAGTAGAATTAGAACCTAAAAATTGATTATTTTTACAATTTTTGTTACCAAATTTGAAATTTTAAACATCTAGGCTATCGCTTGATACCAAATTTGTTCAATTTAGTCTTAAAATTATGTCTTGATATCATTTCAATGGCCGGCAATTTGAAGCTACCCTGTACTGTACGTTACAGCCTAGATGTCCATGATCACCATCAGCGCCTTCAATCTGTAATGAATGACGATCTGTCCGGCAATCCGTCAGTGGCCTCCATCACTGTATATACACTTATTATACAGTCCATGTAACATAATGAAGTATCATATCCAACGTACTGTACAGTACAGTACTGTATAACAATATACTGCACAGTAGACCGCCACTGCGCGTACTCGTACTGTGCAATGGGCGCTCAGTCTGATGCAACCGAAACTTTCCTCAGAGTCTTGTTGATTTTCTCTCTCTAAGATACGAATAAAATATATCTCATCCTCTCCACATCGGAAGCATCCTTTGCCAGTGCTGTATACCATCCGATAACATTACACTGTACAATGAGTGGAGTACAAGAATCGCGCACACTAAGCTGCAATCCATTATTCTGCATTACCCATTTACCCATATTTCAAAATGTCTAGTAAAGATCGTCAGTCTGTCCACTGTTCTGTATAGTGTCCTTTTTTTACACTATGTACTGGACGCTGGACACTGGACGGTAGCATGCAGTACTGTACTGTACACTGTACAGTGTACAGTATAGTACTGCAGTATGAAAAGTGGAAAGTTGTGGAATGAAATTTGCCCGACGAGCATGAAGATATGCAATAGATGCAATGTCGAGTTGAAATCAAGCATTGTAACCATCATACTGTAATGCTTCAAGTTCTACAATAATGTAATTTGTACTAGTTCGACATACCTGACTATCGTGAATAGTGGTACTGTTGTTGGTTGATTGGCATGTTTTTGTCAGTCCGTAACTTAGTACACCGACTGGTAGAAAACAAACATGCCGTGCTGTTTATTCGAGCAAATTACCTTTCATTCAAGCTATTTTGAAAGAAAACACCAATGTCCATGTCGCCGACCGCCCACCCCTAGAAAGTACTCGACTTCAATGTACCAATACTATATTTAAAGGAGGATGACTGATGAGGATTAAATCAACATTGACGTCTTGTTATTTGTTTTGCATTTGCTCTAAATTGAAAATTGAAATGGAGTCGATTGCTCCAAGCTATCCTTCAATCCCACAGTACGGTAGCCAGCAAGTCAATCAGAGTTGCACAAATGTCCCACTGTACACTCAGTGTACAGTACACTGTACTGTACACTGTACAGTACATCATGCAGTTTCTGGAGTGGAGCGTGAATACTGCCACTAGTGTACTGTACTGTATCGAGTCAAGCACAGTAGCATAGTGTACAGTACGTCAGTGTCCAACTGGCGTCGTACTGTACACTGTACATCATGCAGTTTCTGGAGTGGAGCGTAAATACTGCCACTAGTGTACTGTACAGTACAGTATGTCAGTGTCCAAACCGATGTCGTACTGTACAGTACAGTACAGTGCGCCAGTGTCCAACTGACGTCGTACTGTACACTGTACAGTATCTGCAGTGGAGCATCAATACTGCCACTAGTGTACTGTATCATGGAACACTCGATGCCAGTACTGTAGACATATTCAATCGTAGATGAAGAGTGGCGGACAATATTGGCATTGGCGTGGCCCTAGACAGATGTATCAGTATACACACACACACAATGCGTTGATATTGTTGTCAACGACTGACTGCATTAAACAGTAGGCAACAATGCAGTCAGTCATTGTTGACGCTGATCTCGACCGTCAATCGTGCCTTGGTTGACTCATGCTATTGTTGAGAAGCAAGTTCGTTTTCTAGGCGAATGACTCACAAGCGACTGAAATCATTGCAGTTGACGCACTCCATTGGCTCACTGCTTCCATCCTCAACTTGCGCCATCAAAGGAAATTGAAAAATTTCACTGAAGAAAATCCAATCTTGTCCCACTCCATTGGATCCATTTTTCACTGCTTGACTCTTGTATTTTACCTTGAATTGGATTGCATTGGTAGGAGAAAGCAAGCAAGGCATCATTGAACGTCTACAGTAGAGTTTATTGGCTGTTGTCAATCTTGTCAGCCTGTATAATTACTGTAAGGTGGTAAGCTTGTTGCATTGACCCCAACCATTATGGCAGAAGAAGAGGAGCTTCCACTGCGATTGCGATTAAATTCAGTCATTCGAGCATTAGACGAGCATGGCAAAGGCTTTATTACTGTGGAAGACATGCAGCAATGGGCTTCTACATTTGGTGATCAAGGGGTAAGCGAGAGAGAGACAGACAGTGACCAGTTAATTCACACCTAGTCATGGTATCAACGATCTCGATCACTCACTCCAATGTTGATACTTGTCCAAACTAGAAATACTCCCATGACTGACAAAGTGGCAATCATTGTTAAGGTCTACTCTACCCTAATTATCCAATACCAACCATATTCACTCTCGATAAAATTAGCCTACCCTAGTTAGAGATTGCCAGTAGACGAATATCCCATTGGGGTCTACATTGAATTCTCCTAATCGATAGTACAGTATAGCCATGGATAACATGTTATCATCACCTAGAAAACAACATCACCCATACTTCAATCCTTTCTTACCAGTTACTGCAGGAGGTAGACTAATTTTTATGATTCAATTCAGCTTCCAATCGATTGCATTTCTTACTGTACTTTATCCCATGGACTGATTATTCTCACCACATTTTTGCAGCGATATCATACATTTCAACAATCTTTTTTTTCTTTGCATCGTCTAACAATCATGATGGCAAGCCATACTAACGTAGGCTTTCTACTCCTTTTCTTGCCAGACGAGACTTGGCACAATTTAAACCAAAAGACCAACTGCATATCTCCTTTCCCTTCTTATACTTATTTTCATTATAGTCTATGCCAAGTCAATAGAAAGGATGGATAAGCAATCAGTGACATTTTGCTCATTTTTCTTCTTTGAACACGACTTGACACGGATAGTCATCGATATTGACCACATACCGATACTGGCTTTCTACCCACCAGACTACAATACCTATTCATCCATGTCATAGAAAGGAGACAAGAATCATCCTTTACTACTAATATGTGGTAAAAGATGAACTCAAGACATGGAAACATTGACACTTCTATCTTTGACTGCCTTTTCTTGCCCTAATTAAAGCACCAGGATACTCAATACTAAGTTACTGATGAATTAATGATCACTAATTTTCCTGGTAACTATGGTTTGATTCATTTTTAATTCGATCAACATAGGATAGTATTGCAAACATCAGTTTCTTTTAAGGCTACAACAATTTGCCTCTTCAAAATGTCCTAATTTACTATTAGTCCAATGGAGAGATGTTTTCTTACACATTCATCTGTAATAGCATTGAGTGATCGATAGAACGTAATAATTTTCATTAACTGATTGAATTGAAACCATACTGTAGTATACCTATTCAGTAGCACGTTGATAAAATCTTCTATTAATTTAGGGTATTCTTGAAAATGCTTTAATTAGGACAAAATGTAGACGTTAAAATGATTGCCAAAGGCATGTGTTATTCATTGATAGAAATGTTCTCCACAAATGGTCAACTTACAGTATTGCAATAGCTAATCTTAAAATTGGGAGATTTTAATAACAGTCCAAGGCCTCGTTCGCTTTTTATAAACTCCATCAGAAAACATTAACTAAACTACAAGTACTGTACTTAATATAATATAACTAGAGTGGCAATGTTTGAATAAATTGGATCATTTAGTATATACTAGTCCAAACTCCCGTCGCTTTGCTGACGGTTTACGATAATGTACCCATTTATTAATAATTAACAGATAGTATTACCATTCGACATTATATATATCCCGGTAATAGCTGGGTACTACTATATTTAAAACAGATTGATTTAATGGTCGTACTGATCGTCCATTTCCACGTTGATCTTAAAGGAAAGATATCCAAGGCAGAATGAATTTGTATGTTTCAGTCCAGTCTTGGAATGAATTGTAACAGTACAGTAATAACAACGTCACTTTGCAACAGACACCGGCTACTGTTGAAATTACAAGTTGTAATAACAATTCTGCTTTTGGTTTGTTTGTAGAGTAAAGAGAACTACTATAAAACAGGTTACAGTATGCAATCATAGCAGTAGGCCACTACTGTATTGTACTTTGGCATTATTTAGTCATTCCAGGATATAGCCTAAATTATAAGTATACCGTGAGCATTATCATACAACAGTCAGCGGCTTTGATCACAACCTCCGAATTGACTTTACCACTGACTTAGCTTGCTGTAACATGTAAATTGCCACCATTACTGTACAATATTGTAAAGCCACATTAATCATAATACTTGTAAACAGCATTACGATGCCCTTCAACGCCCTTAAGTAAGGAGCGATACCCTGACCATAATCATTGCAGTATCGATTGATATGGCCCATGATCATCTAGATACCTCACTTTATAGTGCTCTCTATTCAGCAAAGTCATGAAAAATAAGATTGTTGTGAACATATTTCAATGGAAAGTGAACTGACTGTAAAACCTTGTCTAATTCGGTTCATCTTTGTTTCAAAATCAAAGTAAACGTTAACCCTACAGTATACTGCAAATCTTCTTAATAGCTGAACACCAGAAGTATTGATTAGGCAATAAAAACATTACCGTAAGGCATCGTCGAGAATAGGTCATAAACGATATCATTTCCTTTAATGATCAACTTTTATTGCATGTTAAAGCTTGCTCAAATATAGCATAGGATAATTTATGTACGCGCTTAATGACACTTTGAAAATCCATTACGACGCGTGATAAAAATCTCAATATCTTTAGCAATTTCTATAGGTGCGTATGTAGCTTGTAAATTCAAGCTGCTTTACTTGAAAAAGTTAGGGATAGCTTATATGTTATCATAGCAACGCGACTTATCGATTTTTTTTACTAAATGACTTTGGCTAATTAGCCGTCGTCAAAATATTATTTGTTTATCGTAGCTTGTTGGGCTTTCAGTAGTTTATCGTGCACGTCAAGTTAATATCTTCATAAACTTGATTCATTCGTTGTTTGCTTGGATAGTTATGGGCCTACTCGTATACCCTTTAATGGACACTTTCTCACTAATAAGAAGTAAGATTTCACCTATCCTCCAAACTTTTGCTTTAATTTCGATTGTGCTTATGGCCATAATTGAGTGCATCCTGAAACTAAAGTCAGCGTACTAGATATTATGTAATAGGACTTGTTTTACCTTTTATCGTACATTAGTTGTATCGTTATAAAGATTCTTTGCCTGGAGAAAATTACTCATTTTCTTAAGAGACGGAATTGAAATCTAGCTATAAATTTAATTTTTAAATACGAAACTTTTAATAATATCTCCAAATGGAAGTCAGTGTCACATTATAATTATCAATCAATACAGCTACTCGTTTTTACGTGTATATTATAAACGTAACAACAGAGACGCTTGGTATATTTCACCTATGCACACTAAATGGCGATTTATTGTATGATGATAGATAATTGATACGTTTTGATGAGAATTGGTATTATAACGCTTTAACCTTTAAAATTTTAGGAGGTACAAGAAATCATTCGGAGTTTAGATCCGGAAGGACGCGGTAGATTTGATTATGAAGAATTTAAAGAACGTGTTAAGTGCGTTTTTACAGGTAAAGTACGGTATCATAATATAGCTAGCAATGCTTACAACTGGCATCGAAACCGTTTCTATTCTTTATGTCACTTTCGAGTGCTTAAATCTTCACATCTAGATAAGCAACGCTAATACTACGTATTATATTGATCGTTTTTAACAAGCACATATGACTTCGCTATAGCTAGAGATTTCGTATATGACAAAATTTTATTTTTGGCTCACGTACGGCTCAAAAACAGGCATTTCTTAGTAGCCTCATGTTATCACGGCCAGTATTCAAGTCCTCATGTAAACGAATATTAGGATGTTTTAGTTCTTTCAAATAATTAATAATATACTATAGATTGTACAATGTATAGCGCTCATAGTATTAGAAAGAAGAAATAAAAATGGTCATGTCATGGTATTACGTAAATGATAATGATATGTTCGATATACTGTACTAAATTACCAGGTTGGTTATAGTCTTCTATAGATTATAAATGGTACGATTTCTTTAGAATAAGCGTCAGTTGATTTTTGATTAATTTACCATTGAAATCGGATCTAAGTGTATTATCTACAGTATGTGTATGGTAAAAATTGAAATTAAATTAAGAATGCTGTTATTTCAATATACGAGTACTGTATATCCAGACTGCAGTCTCATCATTTATTAGTTTGTGGCCTGTACCGGGTCTGATATATTGTCGGCATTTAGTGCAATTGATTTGTCAGAAAGTTTTATAAAGTGAGATTGCAAATATAATCAAAACCCCCTTTCATCTTTATTCTTGTGACTTTGAATAACAAATTATCTGTTTTTTATTTGTCTAACTTCACTTTTATATCTCTTATCTGCGAATTATATTGCATTAATTCCCACTGCCTTGAATGACTAATTGATATCTGTGCTATCTTTTGTTCCTTATGTTTACATATTACTAGGAAATAGTCGCAATGGTTACCAACCTGCACCAGATGTCCTTGATTCATTAGAAAAATACCATCAATTACAACAGGATCAGTTGGTAAGGAATCTCAATATAAGTACTTTACATTTAGAACGCTCGGGAATTTTGTCTTCTTATTCCTTAATAACCATTTTACATGTAGACCTTTTCATATGGTGATGTAAATTCTTAAGTAGTTCAATTTCGTACTGTAAATTCGAGTGCTGTTTATTCGATTCGATTGTAGCTAGACTACTAAGATTTAAGAAATATTTTTTGGAATCAGTCACTGCTTCAACAATTGAAACTTATTACGCCAATTTAATGACCTGTTAAGATTTAATATTCGACCTAAAAGGCACTCATTTATCGATTTGATAGCCTATTATCCTAGTTATTCGTTTGCTATGGATACTATATCGTTCTTTGCACTATAGTTAATTAATATCTAAAGATTACGTCCTATGACTAATTTTACATAGTAAATCTAATTGAAGAAATTATGATTGCATCATAAATTGTAATTTAAACTAATAAGCCATTAAAAGTGAAATTAACATCTAGATCAATAATTTGATAAGTATCGTATATAGCTATCATTATGGCTTTACAACTAACAACAAGGCCATCTATAGAATCATTATTCCCATATATATTTAACAATGGCTCTTATAATTGCACTTAAAAGTATACTATTGACGTTTACAAAAACGTACACTTATAGGCAGGTACAAAGGATCTCGTTGATGGTCAGGAAATGCACGTCAGCGTTGCTGACACGACAGATTCCGTAACCGATACCAAAGACGAATCAGTAACTTTAGTTAACGCTGACAATCAAAATACGAGTACTACTGATGAATTAAATCAGAAGGAAGGCGTAAATAGTAGTTTACTCTCGGCAAGCACAAATGAAGAGGGCTTTGTCGGAATGGGTGAAGACGATTCGATGATGATCGATGAAGAATCCGATAAGGAGTTAACCCCCGCTCGGTAACCATACACTACTGCATGTTTATAACTTAAAGTCAATGTTACGATAAATGTAGTCGTAATGATCGGAAAGATGTCCTTTTACCGTTACTTGATAATGCCTGGCTACGTAGCTGGCTTTTATTATCGCATTGGTAACATTTATCTTTGTCTACTTTTAGACTAGTACGAACTCCTTCCGGACGAAGGGTAGGAGTGTAAGTAGTCATATCCGATGATGAGCTTTAGCTATAAAATTTTGTATGCAATTGAACTGCAATTATAAGCTTTAAATTACACTTTAATGTTGCGCACTTTTTCCTGTACAGATTAATGATAGATTTAAGTGTTATATAATATTATTGTATCAAATTCTTAACAGGAAACTACTCACCCGCGCAAAAGTTAATGGTACTCCTTCTTATCTCAGTAGAAAAAACAGTACAGATAGTCAGGCATCGGACGACAACGCAGAATATTTACATAAATTAAATGATCAGGTATAGTTACGTATATCATTTGGTATTTCTGTTTTTAGTACTCACTTAAATAGTTCATGACATCATGCGTACTATAAATTATTTCTTAATATTCATGGATTGATTACCTGATATACAGCTAATGTTTGCAACTCAGCTACGATAAAAGATAACTATTTGAAAGTTACTATACAAAACGTTCTTCTAAAATTTTGGTTATGAGCGTCTATAGATCTGCGTAGTAATCGTCAAAATACTGAGGGCTAAACTCTACTATTCTCGATAAAAAGATAAATCGTGATTACTAAATCAGCCGCAGCTATAATTATTTTCATATCAGAATTTCATGCATGTCTTTATTTATCGTAATGTTGTAGATATTACATCTTACATCTCAGCTAGAGAAAACTGAAAAACAATGTTCGTCGCACTCTGAAGCATTAAAGCGTACAAAAATTGAAAATAGTCAATTTGTACAACGGTGTAACTATCTGGAGGAACAACTAAGTGAGAGCAGAACTGTTCATGCTAGTGATCTTGCGGAAGAAAAGAAAAAGCATAAAGCTTACGTCGTAAGTGCATTATTAAAGTCATTCCTGCTTTATCATTAGATTGAATATAAGTATACCACAGTACTAGATAGCAGTAGAAGTGTCTAGCGTTCCCAGTAAACCAATATTAAACTCAAATCTATTATAAGTAATTGCTAATTACATTCATCATTTCTCTCACCTTTTGAGTTTCTAAACTATCATATGTAACTTGATAATCGCTCATTACTATGACGTTTTTATACCTTTCATGCAGACAAGATTAGAGGCTGATAGAGACAAACAGATTGAGTCCCTACATCTCCAGTACGTAAATAGAGTGTATTTTCCAGATTAAGTATACTTTTTGACATATTATGATAAATTGCATCCGCAGGATTAAAGATCTAAATATGAAATGCAAAAATTACGCTCAAGAAATTTCTTATCTGAAGGGTCAACAAGATCTAGACCATGCGGTAAGTTACACAGTGTGCAATTATTGACCGTTATTATAAATATCAGTTTGAATTGAATGAAGAAAATTAGATTCCACCTTGAAATAACTCATAAAATTAAAGATAGCTTATAGATAGACCTTACGGTAGAATTAGATTAAGTGAAGACTTTGTAACAACTAATATTTGGATAATTATGACAGAAAGCTACTTCATTACAAGAAAAAAACGATGATTTGCAACTCCGATTTAACCGTAGTGAAGATTCAGTAAAGACTCTAGAAAAAGAAATTGTGGACCTGAAGACATGTATTGAAGAAGATCAACAAGTATTTAAGCAGGTAGAACTCTCATAGCAATTTTAAAATACGATGTATATTTCTACTTGATATAATATTTAGAAACGAACTACGTTATTTGCTAGATATAGCGTTAGATATAGTGTTAGCTACTTTGACTGACTTTTTATAATATTGTAATATTCTATTTATGATATTTATCAAACACTACTTCATGTGTCTAGAAATTAATAACTATGTTAGTACTAGCAATATTGTAACTTAATCATATTGTAGAAGGTCAATTTACGATCTCACTGTCAATAGCAGTTACGCAGTCGGACTCTATACTGTCGTTAGGAATTATCGCGCATACGTCATTTGAACGTTTAACAATTTAACAATAAAGTTTAAATATTAAGAATGAGTACTGTTATCAAAAATATCATAGGTATTACATGAGGCCCAAGAAGAAAATAACAATCTGCAACGACATTATGATGAAGCTAAAGATGAAATCGAAAGATTAACATTAGAGACTAAGAATTTTGTAGCTATAGACACGAGTGGTTACCAGAATGAGATTAAATCGCTTCAACGGGTAAGACGCAGCTAAAACTTAATTTCCATACATTACAATCTTATAGTAGCTCTACGCTAAGTTTTTGGTACTATAAGTTCATGAACAATTTTGTATGGATCTCTTCCCATGTTAGGCGAGCATTAATATGCTTAATTTATCATCCAATGCTATCAAGAATATTAGTCTTAGAATAATTGTCATGTAGGGTTTTATGCGTTGCATACATTTTTTTCTACTTTAAGTACTAACTAAACAATTCCTTATAGATATCTCCTTAATTATATTATAATTTATACAAGTATTTATATTTTTAAATTAATTAATACCTCGTGATGGCCTACCAGTTACAAGAATTGTATATAGTTTAAAATAGTAACCTTGCTGATTAGGAAATATTGTATTGCAAATCGAAACAGAAAAATAGAGTTGAGTTTCAATCGTAATAGGTTACTTGCAGCAATAAATCGGGTTGAATGTAAATACAATATGCAACTGAAAGATACTTTATGTCGATATTGATACTATTTGCCAAATATCAGGTTGAAGAATTATTGAACCATCATATTGCATAATTTTCGGTAGAGTTGCAATTGTAACACTATCATTCTTTTTACAGGACATTCAAAAGTTGAGAGAAGCCAACAGTAGAATGCAAAAGACTTATTTAGATGGCCAGTTACAGCGCGTCAGTTTAGATGATAATATGCCAGCAGAATCTCTGGCAGCAGAATTGGAATTTGCTAGTAAAGATGAGGTAAGTACAGCAGCCAACTACGTAAATGATAGGTTTTATTACTTCTGTACTGTAATTATCCGTACTACGATATGTAATTGCCGTGTATTCTATTACGAGTAATCATTTCTTAACTTAACACACTGTATTAAAAGAGATGTAATGATAATAAGAAGTGATTATAAAATGATATAATCTTTCTTTCATGAAATAGCTTATGGAAGCTTTAAAACAACAAGAAGATACAAATAGTAGGATGCGAACATATCTGGATAGCTTGCTCGCTGTTGTCATGGAAAAAGACCCAACGCTACTAGAGATAACAAATCTTAGACATCATCAACGTCTACGAGAAGAAAATCAAGATTCTTAACCGACTACTAATAGCCCTACATCATAAAGTTGTATGCTTACGTTCTGTAAGATTTCTAGTACGTGCATACCTAGTTTTTTTCTGTCTACTTCACTCATTACTAAGCTAGTAACTGAAATTTATACACGGATGCATTATCCTTCGTTAGATATCTTCGAATACATTTTCAGACCTATTTGGCTGTGAACTATTTAACATTTGTATATGACTTAGTTGTTCTTATTTTAAGAATAACCGATAATGCGTAATCTTTTCGATGTTCGATTCAAGATCTGCAATGCACTTCTAGTTTTAGATACTAAATTTACTAAATCGATTTGTTAATAGAAATTTTGAAATTTTAGTCCTCTTCAATAACCTGACTTACTTATTACATAATAGTAGTATTATTTAGTAGATTATGATCATAACGTGAAAGTAGGAACATGCCTATATGCGGCACATAAATGTAGATGTAAATTGATGACCTGTAACCTTTCATATCATTATGAACATAACGAAGTTCTTTTCTTATCGAATTGATTGAAGCAATCAAACAAATATCAGTTTATTTCATTTAATAGTTTCATTCTTACCGTTACCCTCGACAACTAATGTATCGATAAATAATCATAACTTGATAATTAGGTGGATATCTAGAGGATATATGGTTTTGACATTAAATTACATACTTCTACAGGACAAATCTACAAAGATTCAAGTTTTTTAATAGCATAATTTTCGAAATGTTAAGAGAGAAACTTTTCGTTTATAAAAACTACCGTAATATACTTCTCTTGCCTAATTTAGATATTTTACACTAAAATGATTTAAATGTTTTCTCTTCGTTATTATTCAGAAACTTATATTAATATGTACGTTTGAGTTTAAAGACCCACATCAAAATCTAATCTAGAACTTTATCCATATAACTTGAGCTGTTTATATTCTTTCCCAACATAACCCAAATGTAATAAAGATCTTTAAGACTATTTCGTATTCTTGTGCCTATGTTAACGCCTAATCTAGAGATTAGTAAGCAATGCTAGTTCGGTAATCAGTAAATGCATTAATATCAGCTTTATACTGTCCTCTTAGACCAACCAGTAGAATATAGCGTAAGATCAGATAAAGCTACATGTGATATAAAGATAAGGACAGTCGCCTGTTACCTCAAGTTTAATCTTAACATTATTTAGTCGATATGAATAGATATTTTCAAATGGTAAACTTGTGCAATCTACGACCAGGAGTTACAGTCTGCAACCTGAACGGATGAAGTTATACTCAAAACATTGGTCAATAAGAATCATGGTTAGCAAAAATTATATATCGAAATTTTAAAAATAATTTCTCGGCGCTATTTCATTTTAGAAACGCCTTGCTCTTATACAAAGTATAAACAATACAATATCTAGTATGTCAGAGTATTCTTGTACCTGCGCTGCATACCAGTAAGTAAGCATCGTATGACACAAATATGAACCTTTTAACTAAAACTATACCGCAAATGTATTTTATTTGCTATACAGCCTATACTTCATATACATATTGCGGAATGAGTTATCGTTTGTTGTACGGCTACAACTTAACATTAAATTTCGTTGCAGTATCCCCTCTAAACTTGTATTCAACGCGATTTCTATATCGATATTTATCAGCGATGTATCCAAAAGTTTGTGTATGTACTGTTATAGTTAGCATCGTTATTACTAACTATAAGTTACGATAATAAGTATTTTTTGCGTCCTAGTAAAGTTCCTATCGAGAATATTTTGTGTGAGTTAAAAGTAGATTTCCTATAATCGTTCCGTTTTTCTATGTGTTGCAAGTTTTGATGGTAACGACATAGCACCTGACCAAAGGGCAATAATACTGTCGAGTTGAATAAGCGCCAAATGTGAGAAAATAGGACTGACTTGTAATATCATAGCAGTATAGGGATTCATTTATTGGATGTATTCTTGTAAAAATGCTTTAAATTCACATGGCTGAAGGCAAGCTTTGTAAGTTAATAATTTACTTACTACAACTTTTCAACGTCATAGACACTGTTGATGACGTTATAATGTAATTACATATCACTTACTGAAGCAAAACGCCTAATAAAGTTATGCATTACTGTCAAATCAAATATACCACATTTTACGATTTTTTAAGTTATTAAACAAGATCATGCGCTATCGTAAGCCCTTTCTTCCACTTTATCACAACTTTTCAACATCATAGACACTGTTGATGATATTATAATGTAATTACGTATCACTTACTGAAGCAAAACGCCAAATAAAGTTATGCATTACCGTCACATTAAAATATACCACATTTTACCATTTTAAGTTACTAAACAAGGCTATATCGTAAGACCTTTCTTCCACTTCACTATTCGTTAAATTTTTTTATTGCATGGTTTATAAAGTCACAACAATAGTTCCATCACATAAAACTGTAACGTTTACAGTTGGTAAGTGCTGTAAGAGTTTATAAGAATCTTTGTAGCCAAAAACAACCCATAATCGAAAACAACGTTAAGTATAAACCAAATATTATTATTGTGAAAACATTTCATATGATAAAAAAATCAAAATACTTTACAATTTTAACGCAAACCCTATTTTTAAAACTTATTTTATACCGGAATGTCACAGATGCAAACATAATGTACAAACGTTAGTAATTTTAAATAGTTTATGTGTCTAACATCATAAGCACAGAATTAATTATTGAGCTATCGTATGGTATCCATTGTTGCCTACTGCATATGGCCCAGGCTCACAAAAACTTCAATCAGTCTATGTCATCATTTAATGACAACATTATTACAACATTTTTATAATCAATTTACCACTGAGTTTGCAAAATTTGTGAATTGGGAAACACCAATACTCTATTAACTCTCTATTAATTCTACATAATTTGCAGGAAACATTCCCTTATCACTGTTGCTAGTATAACCAATCCACCAGCCTTCGTCGATCATTTCAATATCGTAAATGATATCTCCAGGTTGAAAAGATATCTCATCTGCAGCATCTATAACAAATATTTTAATGGAACAGTGTGATCGATCAATGCTTAAAAAACCTATCATGTTTCATAATGAAAACAGCTTCACCAGACTCAGAATAGTATTAATGCACACTAAGTTATTAGATAAAAGAATTCTTCAAGTAAAAGACTATGCAATTTCTTTCAACGAATTGATTTAAATTGCACAGTTATAAAACGCTGAGGTTTTGATAAACTTCATTCTTTAGAAAATAAGTCATTAACCTGCTTGATAGTCGTATAACGCCTTTGCATGAACTCCTGAAAGAGGCGGGCTACTTTGCTCAGCAGGATTAGCTTCTTGTTGTTGGTCATCTGTTGCCGGATAAGAGGTATTTTCATACTGTACAACCGCAGGCTATCCATTTTAGATAGGCAGATTTTAGTAAGTGTGTTAAAAAGAAATTAATCAGATATTAATTACTGTAAAATTTAGCATTCATTCGAAATATCTATCCAACTGATACCTCCTGATAGTTGTCTTGGCGATACTGTTCATCTTTGGTGGTTTGGTCTGGAATCGTAACTTGCTGCTGTACAGGTTCGGGCTGGGGGTTGACAAAAAACCGGCAGCGGTAAAAATATTGGAATGTTACAGCGTCATATTGTGTTATTTATGCGCTACAATTTACATGCTCAAGTCAAACCTGTTGGTAAGATTCCTCTACATAGTGTTGACTAGTAGCAGTTGTTTGCTCAAAGGTACGTTCTTGTTTACTTTGACGAACTAACGCTGCAGCTTCTGCTACTCTATCAGGTTCTGAAGGCTGATTACTCTGTTCAGACGACACTTCTTTACGTTGCTGCTGTCGACTTTGTTGAATCAGTATTTCAGCATCATTCATCCTGTTCGTTCTGTTAGTTGAAGCCTTAGAAGTAAAACACCCATTGTACATTAAAGAGGGCTACTAAATTTCAATTACAACGGTAAAATTATTGCTATCATTACTTATCGAAAAGGAAATTCATAGAATAACAATACTTAGTGTTACGAAAACGATGTTGTTTCTATCGTTTATATGCCAATACTGTGGTTTTGGGTCAGTATTTATATTTTGTACAAAAATAGTCGTACAAACCTCATGATGTCGTTCTACTTCTTCCTGATCATGAAAAGTCCTACCAGCACGAACTAATCTAGCGGCTTCTTCTGCTTTACTTTCACTTCTAACCCTTACTTGACCATGATCTTGACTATGCCTCTCCGCAATGCCTCTTTTAATCAAGGCAGTAGCTTCATCACGTAGCGATGATTCAGTAGCTTTACTGGTTTGTAAAGCTTGTTGATCTTGTTCATGAAACGCTCGACCAGCTCTGATTAATCTAGCAGCTTCCTCAGCTTTACTTTCGGCGGTACTGGTAATAACTTCCTGATCTGACGAGGGTTTGGATGCAGAACTGGAAATTAACTTGGTAGCTTCATCACGTAATGATGGAGTAACATTACGTTTGCCGCTTGCTGCTTGTTGCATTTCTCGCTGATGAAATTCTTTGCCTAGCTGACTAAGTTTAGCCGCTTCTGCCCGTAAAGGCATCGTTCTATCCACTGGCCTACCAATAGCTCTCTGTTTCTCTTGAAGTCGCTTTTCTCGTTCAAGAGCTTCTCGAGCCTAACAATTATCATAAGTAATTTATGATTATGGAAATGTCATCATGGTTGGTTTTACCTACAAATTTGATGGATTAATGATATGGAAAAAATTCAACGATAATACCTCTCTCTCTTTTATTTCCTTTTCATATTGAGCTCGTTTTGAAGCAGCGTTGGCTTCTTCATTTTTCGAACGTTGTTTCTCTTCGTCTTGTATTTTTTGCCAAAAGTGATCACGTTTTTGAATATTGATATCTTGATTTAAGGTTACCCTAGCCGGTTGATAATTTGTCCCGACAGGTTCTATAGGTGCTACAGGCTTATGAGACTCTTTGTGAAAGCTGTAATTCGAACCAGAAGATTTGGATACTTTATCAATAACGCTGTCAGGATCAACATCGTCTTCCGAGCGTGCATTGATGACTAAGTGAGCACCTCGAAAAAATTCCGTAACATATCGTACGTGATTGGAACATGTCCCTCGAACCGTAGTTGGTACACCATCTCCAGACCAATTGATTAAAACAAACTTGGGTAATTTTGTATTTGGATCAATAACACGACAGAATGCGTACATAATTTTACTTCCATTCAATTCTTCGATCAAGTCTTGCAAATCGCCATCACTTGTTTCCACCACTTTCAAAACATGACTTTTGCCCTCATAACCAAATAGCGCCCAGTTCACACCGTTCTCGTTATCACAAACTGCTTTCCAAGCATCTAAAAGCTGTTTTTTATTCGTATTCAGATCGATCGACATGCTGACAATGAATTTTTAATCCTTGATGATCCAATAAACTCAATCGATGCCAATCCAATTTGTCGGAAAGGAGTTGAAGAGGATGGAAATGGGTGTGAAATGGCCTGAAAATATCCAAATGGGGATGCGATAGAGGAACTGGAGTTACTCTAGGCTTCCAATTACAGTGTATTGTACTGTAAAGTCGAGGATCTCTCCACTGTAGCTAGAGTACTTGTACTGTACAAAGTGAAAACTGGCTATTAAAGTACGCTTTCAATGGTTCTCATCCATACAAATAGCTGTCGTGACTGGCGAGTGGCTATATTTCCCTGACACTTTCCTAGTCAAGGGACATTGCGTACGGACGGATGGAAATAACAGCAAGCAACAAACATGACGAAATGCTAGCCATGTCAGGCCATGTTCAATCTTGATCAATGGACGGCAAAGTGCTTGCCATTAAGCTTAATTAAATTAACTGCAACTTCATAATTAATTAATGGAAATAAACAGTGTACTTCCAGACTTGTAGGCTTAGAGATGTAGTACACTGAGGATATGAAGAGATATGATACCTAGTCAAGGGACATTACGTACGGACGGATGGAAATGGCAGCAAGCAACGAACATGACGAAATGCTAGCTATGTTAAGCCATCTTCAAACTTGATCAATGGAAGGCAAAGTGCTTGCCATAAATTAAATTAACTGCAAATTCATAATTAATTAATGGAAATAAACAGTGTACTTCCAGACTTGTAGGCTTAGAGATGTAGTACACTAAGGATATGAAGAGATATGATACCTAGTCAGTGGTTAAGGGACATTACCCACGAACGGATGGAAATGGCCGGAAGCAACGAACATGACGAAATGCTAGCCATGTCAGGGCATGTTCAATCTTGATCAATGGATATCAAAGTGCTTGCCATTAAGCTTAATTAAATTAACTACAAATTCATAATTAATTAACGTCAATAAATAGTGTGCTTCCGGACTTATCGGCTTAGAGATACAGTTAGTACACTGAGGATATGAAGAGATATGATACCTAGTCAGTAGTCAAGGGATATTACGCACGGACGGATGGAAATGGCAGCAAGCAACGAACATGACGAAATGCTAGCCATGTTCAATCTTGATCGATGGATGGCAAAGTGCTTGCCATTAAGCTTAATTAACTGCAAATTCATAATTAATTAATGGAAATAGACGATGTACTTCCAGACTTGTAGGCTTTGAGATGTAGTACACTGAGGATATGAAGAGCTATCAGTCTCTATGTACTGATGACGGAGACTGGTTGAGCGCTAATCGTTCTATAAACAACAAGTGCCATGATATATCGACAACATACTTTCAGACTCTGTATTTTCATCATATCGGCCATCATCTATAGTTGCTTTATAAAACAGGCCGACTATTCCACGTCGCTTAGCGCTTTTTTAATATTATATCTACACTTTCTACGCACATTACTACCGCAATGGACTTGAAATCATCACAATTTTGTAAATTATGTTCGACAATATTTCCCCAGAAATGACTCACGTATCTTCAAAAGAGAAATTGAATAATTATATAATTAGGCAATTGAAAGTAATTTCTCTTTTAAGAAATAACATGAAACTAGGAAAACTGCACCTCTGCTACTTTAAGCAGCAGCAAACTAACCGTGTATAATATAATATATTAGAGATCCTGACATACCTGTGCAGTGTTTACTGACCAGCATTATAAGCTGAAAGCTAAACTAACTTTCGTATGTATCTTTACCCGATACTCGCATTAGCAATGTGCTGGCAACTGCTCTACTACGGACTACTACTATAAATTTTCCAGTCTTACTATTCTAATTCATGATTTTTATATAGGAACTATCAAAAGAGTTTTACGCAAACTGAAATGGCAGTTCCAACTACTCTCTGACAGTGAATATAGTACAGATAGTGACTTATTAAGCTGTAGGATAGAGTAAAGGAGAAAGAAGCGGCTTACTGCAAGTCTGCCACTGCGAGCTACTCAACTTCGATACGCAAGAAACATAGATTAAAATAAGCTTTCAATTAAAACCCCTTGTCCAAACTGCTTGTCGCAACTTTAAACGATTGCACTTCGATGCAATAAGAAACATAGTTGAAATAAACCTTTAATGAAGCGTAAAAGTGAATCACTGACACTTTCATACAACAAGAAACGCAGTTTAAAATTAAGCCTTCAATTAGGCGCACTTGCCCATATGTTTACGGTGTTCATGCAGATTGACTGGTAAAATTATACGCATAAAATAATTTTTAAACCCTTTTAATAACGGCGAAATTTTCACTTGTTTACCAGTAATTATAAAATTTTAATTCGTTCATTCAGTGATTAAGCCATTCCCATTTCTAAAATGGTTTCTCAATTGAAAATGGACTGACATAAATCAATACTCAGAAACAAAATCAATTCAACAACTATAAAGCTCAAAACTAACGATTTCTGTAATAACGTGTACCATATGACGATAACGAATGGAGAACAGATAATTTGTTCATTAATCAAGAATACAAAATTATTCGGATACTTTACGTTATATTCTTGGTTGATAAACTACGGTCGTGGCATCAGGTATATGAGCTAATAGATCACGATTACATAACCGACTTGTCGATTAGAACAACGTAAGAGCTGCGCTATCGATTACTGTATTTATTCTCAGCAATTAATGAATCTCTGTTATTATCTCTAGAAGCTATAATCATAACGCTGTATAGGAGTTGATGATGCGAGATGGTACTAGTCCTGCAAGCCTTATCCTAAATGATGTAATCTAGGCCAGACAGTAAGCATCACGGCTGGATTATGGGCATTAGCCATAGTGGTAAACACATGAAACTCTGTACAGCATACAGTAATTGTACATTGAGGGAGGAGTTTATCAGTAGAACCTTGAGAAAATTTTGTTATTTCCCGGTTTCTCTAATATTTATCATTAACTGTAGAAAAATAATCAAGAACAATTGGTCCCATGTGGCTCAATAATTGGTTTTAGCATTTAAATGATTTAAATCCTAAATTTAGCTATGACACAGCTTTAAATTGTCATTGATTACTTAGTCATCTTGCTTTCAAGAAAAGCAGGGCTCGTAGTATTTAAAATATATCAATGGATTGCATCATCTTAGAGTATTTTACATCAGCATCACTAGATTCTTCTCCACGATTATAAATTAAGTTTATCCGATTATCATAGGGTACAGATCGATAGACAAAGACATTGTGTAATAGCCTGGCTGCTACGACGCTGAAAGTTCAAAATTATATACGGAAACTGAATGGGTCATTGACCGATCGTATTTGTAACTATCTATAAACGCCTAATCTCAAGAACAGGCGACGACGCATACTTAATTACCTTGAAATAATTTGACAATAACATTGATGAATAGATTAAAGTCCGTTTATTATCGATATTGTAAAAATATAAAATCAAGAAATAAATCTTTCATAGAATTCAAAAAAATCATGGGAGACATTTGAGGTAATAGTGGTAATCGGTTAGATTGCGATTGACACAAAAGAACGTGAACAGCCATAAGGCATTAAAATAATACTTTTGATTATCTAACAATACAATTCGAAAAGCATTTAATTCATTATCCATAGACGCTATTGCAATTAACAGATGTTAATCAATTTAATAAATAATACTTTACTCAAACGTAGTTTGTTATATATTGTAATATCTAATCACTATGATTGTTTCTAAATCAATCGTAGTCATGTGGAATATTGAATACTAAAACGATCAGGTTGTATTATTGCAGTTTTTCACATACAATCAATAATCAACTGAAACGACAACAAAAATCCTTTTTCCTTTTAACCTTGCGTCATTTGCTAGCCATGAAAAAAATTCGGAAAAACAGTTTTAAATTACCATGATATGAATCATCACTTTGAAAAGATTACATTTTAAATCAGCCAGATTTCAATTCTCTATTGATCGTATTATTGAAATACTGTATAAACTATATCATAATAATACTCATTGTATCACTGATGACGACTGCATCATATCACTAAGAAATCCGGTTTCAAATAGTATCGAAATTTTACTTAAAGGTCAGTTGTGGACGCACAGAAAAGCAAGTTATGGTTGAGCGAATAAGTTATACGAGTAAATCAGTTAATGTAAACAATGGCGAACGTCCATATTAAAATAAAGTACTTAATAAGGATTGTATAGAATGATTCTATTTTACTACCATGACATCCTATTTTATGACTCATTGCGGCCATTGATTGATAGTCAGTTGAGAAATTTCTTTCAAGAACATCCTATCGCCTGAAGGTTTATGTATTGTCCAATAATTTACTCTTACGCCATGTTACAATAGCTGGCTAACAATTTAGACGGATTAAAATTTGATCAATAGCAATAAAGATACGCTTTAACAAATATTATAAGTAATTTTAAGCTAAAAGTCACATAAACTAAGGCATTACTCCTTATTATAGTTGAAAGAAATTCTCTTCAACTATGGGATAATTTGGTAAACGAACATGATTTTACTGTATCTCACTTTATGTCAATAAAGAAGTGAATTATCCTAGTCAAAATAGCAATATGATATAAGGAATAGTGTATTGATTAAATTAATACTACCGTATTCTTGAACAGACAATACACGTTTCATATCCTGATTTAAAAGCATTTTACCGCGCTTATAATATAATCATCACTGTTAATTTAATGACCATGTTCCCAGTGAAATATGCTATAAGTGATTGTATCGTTTGGTTAGACTTTTTATTGACCATGACCTTGTTACCATCATTAATAGTACTCCTAATGAATGAGCCATTGTGAGCCGATAATATATGGTAACTGCAGCTGGTTTACTGTTCGATTGTTCATAATACAACTAAATGCTTTTATGCTTAATCCTGGCATGTAGAATTATACACAAGACCTATCATAATATCACCCATGTGTACTATAAAAGGACAAAGATCTTCTGGAATATCGAATTT